GTTGGTGATGAGTCATCTGCTCTGTCCCTTTAACAGGGTTTCCAGTCCTTTTTTTTTTTTTTTTAATCTTCTTGGTTATTTTAAACACATTGGATGTATCTTCTAGACTGTTCCATACAGTTCTATAATAGAATTCCTGAAGTGCTGGTTTCTCTACCTGCCTGCTGTCCGTGCTCTCGTGTGGTCTGTAACTTCTACTTGGAGCTCATCTTCAGTGATTTTTCTTTCCCTGCAGGAATCCCACGCACTCTGGGTCCGGGAAGAGCCCTGGGAAGCGGTTGGGAAGGGGTTCAGCTTCGAATGGGTTCCATTGGTCCAGAACCTATTTTCACCCGAAATTCTTAGCTCAGGACTTGTGAATTTAGACTCTGGGGTCCACCCTTTCGGGTTTGGAGGAGATGTTCTTGCCTACCCCAGCTGGCCTCTGGACAGAGCCAAGTGTCCTGCCGGCTCTGGGGGCTGGCAGTTGAGTTGGCAAGGGTCCAGGCTCCCACGCACAGAAGGTCTCAGCGCCAGCTCCCGCCCTCGCCAGGGCCCACGGCCGTGTCTTCCTATCCCTGAGTGGACATCTAAATTCCAGACCTGAGCCACTGAGGCCCTTATCCAGATCCAGTGTCCCCTGGGCCTCCCCGACGTCAGCTCGCATGCTCAACAAACTCCCTGGGAGTTTCTCCTTTCTTAGTGCCACTTTGTATTTAACACCCTTTGGCAGGAGCCATCAACAGGTCAAGCCACCCCAGCAAGCCCCGACGCTCTGCTTCCGGTCCAGCTCCCTGCACGAATAACGTGCCTGGGAAGGCAGCGGAAGATGGCCAAGTACTTGGGACCCTGCTCCCATGCACGTGGGAGACCCAGGTGGAGTTCCAGGCTCCTGGCTTCAGCCAAGTGCAGCCCAGGTCTTTGCAGCCATTTGGGGAGAGAACCAATGGACGGAAGATCTCCGTCTCTCCCTCTCTCTGTCACTTTGCCTTTCAAATAAATAGAATAAATCGTAAAAAAAAAAACCCACCTTTCTGAGAGGGACTGTATTAGCAGAACTTTGTGGTCACAGCCAGAGTATTGACTTAAGTCCGTTTTCAGCCTCTCTACCCAAGGGGTGGCAGCCAGGGCTAACGTCCCTGCCCAGCACCGTAGAGTGAAGAGGGATGGAAGTCCTCCTCTTGCGGCTCTCCTGCATTCGCCATGTGCTACGGCAAGCACAAATGTCCTCCGGTTACGGCATGCATGTGCACATGTGCATAGGTGTGCACGCTGTGCATGTGAGCACATACATGTGCATCTGTGTGAGCTTACTTAAAATGAAACTTCCAATTCCATTTTTATTACTGTAAAACCTACTTTGAAAAAGAACAGAACATGGCCTTTAGGCAGGTTCTTCAAAAAGGTGCACGGACAACGGGATGAAGATAACCCTGAACTTGCTGGAGACCCTCATCCAGAGCTTGTGGGTCAGCCCTGTATCCAGGAGCTTGGAGTCCCTGGCACCGCCCACCATGGATTGAAAACACTTTTTTAAAAATTGCACTGGGGCTGGTGGTGTGGTGCAGCGGTTAAGCCACAGCCTGTAGTGCTGGTGGCATTTCATATGGGCGCTGGTTCCAGTCTCGACTGCTCTACTTCTGATCCAGCTCCCTGCTAATGTGCCTGGGAAAGCAGCAGAAGATGGCCCAAGTCCCTGGGCCCCTGCACCCATGAGGGAGACCCAGGAAAAGCTCTTGGCTCCTGCCTTTGGCCTGGCCCAGCCCTGGCCATTGCAGGCATTTGGGGAGTGAACCAGAGGATGAAGGATCTCTCCCTCTGTGTCTCTCCTTCTCTCTCTCTAACTCTACCTTTCAAATAAATAAATAAATCTTTAAAATAATTTGTAACTGTACTGAATCAGTTCATTTTTGGGGGGTCACTAGTCCCTGAACAATAGAGTGTAACAATGATTTACATAGCATGTATGGTGTATTACGTATCACACACACACACACACACACACACAAACCCTAGAGATGATTTAAGGTAAACAGTAGGATATGGGTAGATTATAGACAAACTACACCATTTTACATAAGGGACTCGATGGAGCCAGTGCTGTGGCACCACAGGTTAAAGCTCTGGCCTGCAGTGCTGGCATCCCAGATGGGTGCCGGTTCGAGTCCCGGCTGCTCCACTTCCGATCCAGCTCTCTGCTATGGCCTGGGAAAGCAGAAGATGGCCCAAGTGCTTGGGCCCCTGCACCTGCATGGGAGACCCAGAAGAAGCTCCTGGCTCCTGGCTCCTGGCTTCGGATCGGCTAAGCACCGGCTGTGGAGGTCATTTGGGGAGTGAACCAGCGGATGGAAGATCTCTGTTTCTACCTCTCTCTGTAACTCTTTCAAATAAATAAAATAAATCTTTAAAAAGATACATAAGGGACTTGAGCACCCCAGAATTGTGGTGTCTGTGGGGTCCCTGCAAGCAGTCCCCCGGGACACCAAGTGCGCTCTGTGGGCCGGGGCAGCTGCCGGCGAGCCCCTCCTCCCTCCCGGGGTTGGCGTTCCCTGCTCCTTCCTGGGGCACCAGCCAGCCTGCCCCAGGCTGTGCAATGTTCTATTTTTGCTTCCATTATTTCACTGTGTCCCATATACACCGATCTGCGCAGGGCTCGGCCCCATGGTTTGATGGACAACTGAGCTCAGTCAGCAAAGGCCCAGGTCACGTGGGCCCCGCAGGCTTGTGGGCCCCACCCCCAGCCAACTTCAGGGCAAGGCCCAAAGCAGAGCAAACTCCCGGGGGACGATGCCCGCACACAGAGCCGTGGGCAGCGTGGGTTTGTGCTCTGCCCCCCGGGGGCCGGGGCTTGTTGGCGACCCCTGAACTCGGCGCCGGCTGCACCGGCTGCAGCTGTACCTCCTGGCGGCTCATTTTCTTTCCTAGTGGTTTCATTTCTAGACCTTCCCTATGGTCTTCTGGTCATCTAACACCCCCGAGCTTACACACGCAGGAGCCTGGTGAAGCGACATGACCCTCGGCGTGAGGGACGCTTTACCCAATGCTTTCCCCTGGGCCTGTGTCCTCACTGGGTCCTTCCACCAAGTCCAGGAGGACACACTGCGGGCGGTCTGACCTGCCTTACAAGTGAGCCCACCGACAGAGACAGGGCTGGCCTGTCTGGGGAGGCGAGGTCGGGACTTGAACTTGGGTCCTCCCCAGCCTCTGTTCATCCCCCTCCACTGGCAGACCACGCCCAGGACGCGTGACCCCCGGGATGTGGGGTCGGGGGCACCCTGATCCAAGGGGCTTCTGGCCATCACCCCACACTGGCTCTGCATCCCCAGGGTGGGGACAGGCAGGGCAGGGTGCCCGCTGCTGCCTCCCAGCGACCTGGCCTCCCTCTGTCTGCTCAGAACACAGCCTCTCCAGCCCCAGCGTGGCTCCCCCTGCTCCTCGTCCCCCGCCCCCAGCCAACGACACATTCATCAGGAGGGAGACGGCTGAACAATCCAGAGGGCAGACAGGGCAGAGGAAATCGATAACGGAGAACGGCGTCCCTGCATTGCGCCTCCCGTCTTTATTGCTCCCCGCGGCCGCAGGACGGGTGACAGATGTGGGCTGCGGATTTGATATTAACTGATCCCGCAGCTGGCTGAGCCCAGCAGTGCTCCCTGGACCGCGAGCCGCTGCTGGCCGGCTCCGGGGCTCACAAGGAGCTCTGTGTCACTGCGCAGGACGGCCCAAGGGTCTGACGCAGGCATCCTGGCTTCTCCGTGCTCCGGGCACTCCGGTCAGTCACCTGGACCGGGGGGATGGGGGAGAGAGCAGAGGACGGGAGCCTGGCCACCCCTGCGACCTCAGACCCATCTTCCTGCCGGGAAGAAACTCCACCTGCTTCTGCCTGAAACAGCTTCAAAGCTTAGCTGAGAAACAAGTGGCCAGCAACACTTCCGTCTGAATCTGTAGAGTGAGACTACCCACGAGGAGAGCCACAGAGCCTGTCTCAGGCCTGCGGGGAGGTGAGGATGGGGCGCCCACACCGGGCCCGGCCCACCTGGCACCATCAGCAGCTGCTGTTTAACCACACTCGGCAGGGCATGTGAGGATGGAACAAGCACTGTGGCTCAGTGGGTTAAGACACTGCATCCCCTGTGAGCTCTGGTTCAAGTCCCAGCTGCTCCACTTCTGATCCAGCTCCCTGCTAATGCACCTGGGACAGCAGCAGGAGATGGCCCAAGTGGGAGACCCAGATAGAGTTGCAGGCTCCTGGCTTTGGCTTGACCCAGATTTGGCCATTGCAGCCAAAGGAGAGTGAACCAGCTGATGGAAGATTTCTCTCTCTCTCTCTCTTTCTCTCTGTAACTCTGCCTTCCAAATAATAAGTAAATAAATCTTAAAAACAACAACAACAACCATGATTTGGCCTCAGCCCCTGCCGCTCAAGCCCCCACCTGTCTTGCAATCCACCTGTTTGCCAGGTGTGTGCTCCAGCCTGGAAACATCAGTCAACCTCTTGGGCCCTCTGTCTTCCTCACAGAGGTGCAACACAGCGGGGGGGGGGGGGGTTGACACAGCGCCTGGCACAAGGCCATCTTGCTCCCCCCTCAAGCTTCTGGAACTTTCCACGGGGAGTGGAATAAGGGGAGAAGTTTGGGCTGCCCAGAAGTAGAGAAACACCTCAAGGACTGTTTCAAAAGGGGCAGCCCAGTTCGTGGGGGACGCAGAGGGCAGAGTGGGGTCCAAACACCTGTACTTGACGGGCACTGAGCTTGGAGCTACAGATGCAGAGGTCAAGCCCCAGCCCCAGCCCCCACCCTCGCGGAACTGGGTCCCGGGGTTGTTGATGGCTCCAGACAGTGCCCTGGTCAGGGAGGGACCATTGGTGGCCCGAAGCACGAAGGCTGGAAGACACCTCCCCTCTGCCCACCACAAGCTCCTACCTGGGGCTCTGCACTGGTTCCCCATTCAAATCCTCTCCAGGTTCACGTCCCAGCTCCACCCCCCTACCCCAGCAAGCCACCTCGGGCAGGCCACTCTACCTCTCTGAACTCCATTTCTGCATCCACAGGGGTGCCAGGCACAGGGCCGCCTTCACGGAGGCATTGCGAACGCACACGGCATTCAGTGTTGGACCCAGCACACAGGAGCCTGGGCTGGGCTTGCTCTGATCACGATCCTCTCGCACCTGTGCTGGGCCAGGGCCGGCACAAGAACACCCTTCCCAGCGACTGTGTCTGCAGGTGACAAGGACTCCTGCTGCCTGGGCTCTCACCTGTCAAAGGCAGAAAAGGGCTCGGGCTACCTCCCCAACCCCTGCCACGACACCCAGAGCCAGGGATGGGGCTCAGAGGCTGGCGCTGGGGGCCGGGGTCCCACCCATCAGGTGTCAGGAACTTCGCATCTGGGAACCGCTTGTCCCAGGTGTCTCCACCCCATGGCCTCACCCGGTCCTCCCTGTGGCTCTGAGAGTACCCCCTTGGCACTCATCATGTCACAGGTGTGGGGACCGAGGCTCACATGGGTCTGAGGTCACAGGGACAGCTCAGGGAGTGGCCTGAGTCACACAGCCTGGGAGAGACAGGGGTGGTCTGGCCTGGCTTCTCCCGTCTCAAAGCTCAGGGTGACCGCACAGCAGTGAGACAGCAGGCGTGTCCGGGGAGGCGGGGCTCTGGGCCTGGGTGACGAGCTGGAACAGAGGTCAAGGGGGGACTGGGGTGGAAGGTGGGTGGGGGGAGAGTGGCCAGGCTGTCCAGATGTAGGAGAAAAAGCCAGCGTGATGCCACCTTGCTCCAGGAAATCAGCCCTGGCCAGCTGGTGCCCCCGGACACCTGGCGGCTCCTCTGCAGAAGCAGCCGGGCCAGCACAGGCAGCCTCAGCCTGCAGGTCCCCAGGGAACAGCCCGCCGCGTCTGCAGATCCACGGAGATTTAGATCTCCTGCTGCCCGGCTCGGAGCACCTGGGCGGGTCCTCCCATGGGGAAGGGGCGGAGTCTGAGTTCCCAGCCAGAGGACCGGGCTCCCCATCAGCGGCCTGCGGAATCCTCTCGTGACCAGAGAGAAATGAAAGGTGCGCAGACGGAGAGCTGGCCGTGGGCGTTCACAGCCGCGCTGTCCTCACAGAGGAACACCCATCGGCCCACAGACGGCTGGGCACGACCGCACCTCCGCGCTCTCCCGCTCGTGTTTTCATCCACGAAGCACCGGCAATGCCGTGCCTCGGAGGAACCTGGGAAACACGGTACTACACGGAAGAATCCAGACGCAGGACACACAGCGTGCGAGCATGATTCTAGGTGCAGGAAACAGCCAAACAAGGCGACTCCAGAGACACAGAGCAGAGATGCGGGACCCGGGAGGGCCTGGGGCATGGAGGGCTCTGTCTGGGGGCGAAGCGGCGCTGGGTGATGGGTGGCTGTGTGGCACTGGAATATTCTGAATGCCACTGAGCTGTCCACTTTAAGACGGCTTACAATTCTGGGGTGGGCAACGCCTGGCCTGTGGACATGTGAGGTCCACGGAGTCATTGGGTCTAACCCCGCAGAGGCAACCATGGGTGGGACTGCAAATTCAGTAAGGCTGCAGAAGGCTAGTTTTTTTTGAGTTGATAATTTTGTGTGACCCACGAATGATGCTACAAACATCCAGAAGGCCTGTGGCAGGAAACGGGTTCCTATCCCCGGTGTGCTAAGTTTCAGAACAGAAGCCCGTAAACATCCCATCTATTGATACCAAAGAAGAGGAGCCACCACACTTGGGAGCGTGCACCCCACAAGCACATGCGCCCAGCAATGGGAAGGAAGCCAAAGGCTGGTCAGCCATATAAGGTCCTGCAGCTGCACGCCAGGGGTCACGACCTGCCGCCTCCTGGAGTGGCGGGAGACGAGGCCCCAGGGACGGGCCGGAGCGTGGAGGTCTGTCATTAGCACTGGGGGACACCAACCTCCTGGGCCGGGGGAGGTCTACAAATGGCATCGGTCTCAGTGACTACAGAAAGGACTGCTATCCAACAAGCAGGCAGTGAGCGCATCCCTGGGGAGCCCCTGGTCCAGTGGGGTGGCTGGGGAGGCACAGGTGCTGCTGGCAGAGCCAGGGGCAAGTTGGCTGCTGGGGGTGAGCACAACCAGCGACCCCCAACCATGGAGCATCTGGGAAGACTTCCTGCAGGAGGCGACACCTGAGCCGAGTCCATCACATCACCTGGCTCCTCCCTGGAGAACGGTTTTTGTTTTAAATATAAGGAAGGAGAAGAGAATGCTGGGTAAGGTAGACCCTTGCTGGATGTTTCGGTTACATTTTCCTCTGATAAATTCCAAGGTTTTAGGAAGCACAGGGGGCCTTGGGTTCAACTCCTGGCTCCACCACGTAGGGCCCAGGTGACCTGGGAAGGGGCCTGCCCTCTCTGTGCCTCAGTTTCTTCATAATGACCTCCTAGACCTGATGGACAGTCAGCAGGGCTACCGTCACCGCGGCGTCCACTCCCTTCCGATGGGGACTTCGGGCCAGCTCCACAGACATGGTGGCCTGGAAGGCCCCACTGCCATCACCTCCCAGCCGTGGGCTTCAGCGGAACTGTTCCGACCTCACGGTGGGGAGCAATGGGCTGGGCAGCGGCGCAGGGAAGTGGGAGCACGCAGCACCCCCACCCCTCCACGCGATGGAGACCCCGGTGCTGTGCGGCGCCACCTCCCTGCCGCGTGAGCACCACGCTGGACCCCCTCCCCCCCAAGAGCTGCTCTCTGCCTCATTTTAGGAGGAAGCTGAGAGACAGTGACTCACCGCAGGTCACAAGGAGCAGCGAGCCCCGAATCCCACACCCAGCCTGCCCACGGCGCAGCGCCGCGGGCCAGGGGCTGGTGATGGAGAGCTTGGGCCCAGCTTCCCAGCCCACGCCGGCCACACAGCTGCACTCCCGACCTGCACGCAGATGGAAGGGCAGCAGGACGCCTCCCCACGACTTTGTCCGAGACAAGCACCCGACTCACGCCAGCTGCTAGCAGCACTCTGTCACCTGCTACCTGCTCTGATCGGGAGAACCACCAGGGACCCGGGGTCCCCAGGGAGCCACAGGTGCACTGTCTGGCTCATCAGGCAAGCACAAGCTCCCAACCCAGGCTCCTGCACCCTCCTTGGGCAGGGTCTTCCGTCCTGCCCAGCAGTGGCCCCCGGAGAATTCCTGGAGCCGCTGCCCCTTCCTGGTCCCCAGGAGCGATCGATTCCAACACCGGCCCATTCCAGGGGCTCCTGTCTCCCCGACTCAGGGCCTGGCTGGCAGCTGCTCCTTTCCGGGACACCCCCCAACCCCAACGCCTGACTCCTAGTCCTGCCGGCGGCCTCTGAGTCACATCTGGGGCCCTGGGGCAGCCCCGGGGCCGAGAGCCAGGCGGCCACAGCCTGGACTCTGGGGATGGCGGTGACAACACCAGCACCGTCTCAGCGTCGGCTGGCCTGAGGTCACACCACGTCCACCTCCTGGGAACGTCTTCCTCCTGCCGATTCAGATTTATTCTCTGGAATAAAATTCAACAGGTCTTGTTCCCTAAACGTTCTGCCACAAACACGAGCTCCTTCAATAACCAGAAAATCAACACAGCGAATGAAGAGGGTCCCTAAGACACCAGGGACACCCGGCCACCATGCAGCTCCTGAGATGTCCCGGCCCCCGTTCCCCGCCAAGCCTCCCCTCTCCCCGTCTCGCGGCTCTGCTTCCTCAGGTGCTCAGTGGCTGCTTCCTCCACTTAGCACCAGGGAGCCCGCGGTTCGGAAATCCCTGCTTAGCCACGGATCAAGCACACGACTTCAGAGGAGTTTATTCTGTGTTTCCGAGCCTTGGTTTCCCCATCTGTAAAATGGCACAGTCAGTAGCAGATGCTTGGAACACTACTGCGGGCCAGCATCTTCTGGAAATGTCTCTCCGTTCGCTGTCCTCTGGCTGTGTGTCCACCCATCACCCAGCCCTTTCTCGACTCCTGTGAGCCTCCTGCTTATCCCTGCCGGCAACACCACCGCTACGAAGCCTCCCAGCAATGCTGTTATTGTTTGTATTTTACCAGGAGTGGTGGGGACGGATGCAGGCCCTCCAAGGCCAGGACGTGACTGACCGTCCCATGGCCGTGCCTGGCTCTGCAGGGGAAGCCACACCCCCAACCGGCATCCTCTGCAGACCACGGACACTGGGGGTATGAGGGGAATAGGGGGACTGAAGGTCCCCTAAACTGCTCGGGGGATGTGGCGCCCCCTTCTGGCCACTGCCTCTCTGCAATGAGAAAGTCTGCACAGCTCCTCTGTGCCTGGCGTCAGATTTATTTTCCAAGAGTCTCGGCATGATAAGGATGAGAGCTAGGAGGGAACCCCTTAAAGAAAGGGCTGTTCGTTGCCCTAAAGCACGCCTGGCCCTGGCACACAGGAGGTGTTCCAGAAATAGGCGTGGAGAAAATGAATCCCCCCCCCCATCCCGTTCTTTCACTGAGCGGGAGCAGCAGCCCAGAGAGGAGCAGGGACTCGCCTGAGACCCTCGAGCCCTGGCTGCCTGTCACCCTTCCCCGGGCCGGGGCTCCTCTGCTGCAGCTCCCCGGGAAGACTGAGGGCAGAAGCAGCCCCCTGTCCTCCAGGGTCTCCTTGCCCAGGGCAGCTGGAGACAGCGGGGCAGGCGCAGAAAGGTTGGGCGTCGGCTGTAAGGGAGCCAGGAAGCCAAGACTGCAGTGGTGGGGGTGCTCTCCTGGATAGGGCTGCCAGCAACGTGGGAGGGCGCCGGCACCCCATCACCCCCAGAAGCCAGAGCACGGAGGACACGCCTGCCTCTGATGGCCGCTTGCCCAGGACTCAAACGGCATGTGCACAAAGACGCCGATGCACCTGCATGCCCACCAGTTCCAGAAACGTCCATCCTGGGGTCTCCCCTTTGCTGCCATCTGCCCCCACATGGGAAAAGGGGTGGGACAGCGAGAGGTGTCAGGGAGGTCACCTGTGGAAGCCATCAGCTGCTTCTCTCTGTAGTCTCAAGTGTTCTGGGGCTACAAGTGTTGGTAACGGGGCCTGTGTCAGGTGCACCTGCTCGCCCACACCAGTCCTTCACTTGGCTTCAGAATTAGCTCCCAGGCTGGAGTCACCAGAGGAAGGGAGGGCGACTGGCCCTGCAGGCCCAGGGAGCCCTGCTCCTCCTCCGGGCTCTCTGCGAGGGGGGGCGTTAACTCCCCGTGACCTCCCGAGGTGCCGTCCCAGACCGCACCAGATGGCGTTGGTGCAGCTAGGTGGATAGATGCACCCACCCAGAACAAAGGCCTATGGCTGGGAGGGGCTGGAGGCGCAGCCGCCCCAGGGCTTCTGGCTGGCACATGTGCAGGGGCAGGAGGCAGCGTTAGAAACGGGGCAGGCTGCACGCGGGCTCAGGGAACCATGACATCGCTTCGGACAAAAAGTCTGCAAAGTGCCCTCACCGACCGCAGAGAAAACAGTCTGAGAGAGTCGGTGACCAGTCCTCGGCAGCCAGGGATGGTGAGCGGGCTGGGCTGGGATCTGAACTGAATTCTGCATGGCTCCAAAGGTCACTTCTTATTTTTTAAATTTAGTTTTTGAAAGGGGCCCCATCCTGAGATAGTCTTATTTAATTGGTCTGGGATGTGGCTTGAGTATTGGAGCTTTTATTTATTTCTTTTTCTTTTTCACTTTAATTTGAAAGGCAGAGACAGAGAGATCTGTCATTTGTTGGTTTACTCCTCAGTGACCACAACTGTCAGGGCTGGGCCAGGCTGAAGCCAGAGCCTAGAACTCTGTCTGGGTCCTTCCCACGTGGGTGGCAGGGGCCCAGGTACTTGAGCCATCATCCGCTGCCTCCCAGGACTCGCATTAGCAGAAAGCTGGCCAGAAGCAGAGGAGCTGGGACTCAGGTCAAGGCCGTCAGGTATGGATGTGAGTGCACCACGTGACATCATAACTGCTGTGCCAAATGCCCACCCTGGAAGCCCACGTCCTAGTGACAGACCACAGAGGAGGGGCTGCCTCAGCTCATGTCCAGTGGTGGCCGCCAGGTGGCTTCACCGTCCTGGACTTCACTTTTCCCTACTGAAAAATCCAGTTTAAAAAAAAAAAAAATAGGTCCAAGATCACATATGGGCGCCGGTTCATGTCCCAGCTGCTCTAGTTCCCATCCAGCTCCCTGCTAATGGCCTGGGAAAAGCAGCAGAAGATGGCCCAAGTACTTGGGTCCCTGTCACCCATGTGGGAGGCCTGGCTCCTGGCTCCTTTCTTGGCCTGGCCATTGCATCCATCCGGGGAGTGAACCAGCAGATAGAAGATTCTCTAGATTCTCTAGATTCTCTCTCTCTCTCTCTCTCTCTCATTATTTCAAATAAATAAATAATTCTCTAAGAAAAAAAAATACAGGAGTGGGCATTTAGCCCAGCAGTCAAGGTCCCTGGGTTTGATTCTTAGTGTCCCACACTGGGGGGCCTGCGTTTGATTTCCAGCTCTGACCCCTGACGCCACCTTCCTATCAATGTGGACCCAGGCAGGCAGCGGTGATGGCCCAAGTAGCTGGGTCCCTGCCGGCCACATGGGAAAGCTGCATTGCATTCGGGGCTCCTGGCTTCTGCCTGGCCTGGCTGCAGGTATCTGAGAAGTGGACCAGCAGATGGGAGGGAGCTCTGTGTGTGTCTGTCTCTTTACCTCTCAAATAACAAAGAAGAGAAGAAAGGATGTGAGGAAGGGGGGGAGGGAGTGTGCACGGGGAAGCATTTGGCATGGTGTCTGCGCCCAGCAGGAAGTGAGTGCTCACTGGGTCCCCTATTGACTCAGAAAGCCTCCCCCAACTCTCCCCCAGCCACCTTCCCCCTCTGCTCGGAGGGCTCTCCCCGCAGAAGCTCTGCGCGTCTCCCCCTTCCCCACCTCTGGCCTCTGCACAAATGCTCCCTCTCCCTCCTGATCCGCCCATCCCCTGTTGAGAATGGCAGCCCCTCCCCCACTCTGCACTTGACCCCTGGTTGTCTGTCTTCTTGGCATTTTCACCTTGAGCTGGCTGCATCTTAGACTTCTTTACTTATTTATTTGACAGGTAGAGTTATAGACAGTGAGAAAGAGAGAGAGAGAGACAGAGAGAAAGGTCTTCCTTCCATTGGTTCACTCCCCAAATGGCCACCACTGCCGGAGCTACGCCAATCCGAAGCCAGGAGCCAGGAGCTTCTTTCCTGGATCTTAGACTTCTTTAGCCTCTGTGTTATTCCTTTCACTCTTTGGTCGCCAGTGGGTGGAGCTAACCGTCCTGCAACACTCCCAACCAAAGGATGCAGAGGCCCCAAACACCAAGGGTGCCCCAAGGGTGCCCCAGTAGCCGTCCACAGCAGCCGCTCAGGACAAGCTCACTTGGGAGCGATGCCTGCGGGTCCTGCTGGTGACCTGTTACTTCCTCCCTTGTGTCAACCTCTGCCCTCCAGGGCACCAGGGCCAGGCTGCAAACTGCCCATCACTGGGCCACCCTGAGCGCCCAGGGCATGCCAGCCCCCCCCCCCAAAGCCTGGTCCATGAGCTGCCCTGGCAGGGACCCCACCCACGATCCCCATATTAAAAAAACGCAGTACCTTGTACAGAACCGAGTAAGGAAACACAGGTGTAGAAGCCGCCCCTCGCCCCGCACAGCCCA